AAAGTGACGATACCTGATAAAGTGCTTGAGGCTTTACTTTTGCCAAATTTGACAACATTTTGGGTGGATGGATGGATGCTATAGTCGCGACTGGTAGAATGGAAAAGTCGAGTCACAACTGCAAGTGCTTCATATGAGGGAGCTTTAACTCGGAGATCGGTGATGTCCCTCTGACTCATCATCCCCTTCTCGTTTTTTGAAATAAATTTTTACAGCCTTAACTTTCTTAAAAACACTCTGACCCAAATTTAGCTCCTCAGTAGAAAAAACGGTCAAGTCTTTTGCTAGTTTTATCTCATGAACCCTTAAGACAATTTATTTTGAAGTCGTTGGTTGAGTAATGGGCAGCAGAGCTGTATGGAAAAATGCTAAGAGAATAACTTTCGGTTCACTGTATAAATGCATTTCATATCAGTACCTCTGTAACTTTTAGGGGGAAGATTTGTGCCACGATGCGTGCTAATTGATTTGGATCCAGGAACTCCAAACACGGTGCTTGGAAGCCCATTCGGGCGGCTGTTTCGACCTGAAAACTTTGTTGCTGGACTCGCAGGCTCGGGTAACAATTGGGCAAGGGGTCGCTATACTGATGGCTTAGAACTACTGGAAACTGTCCTTGACGTTGTCCGTAAGGAAGCCGAGGGGTGCGATCAACTTCAAGGTTTCCAAATTCTCCATTCCATTGGTGGTGGCTGTGGTTCCGGAATGGGGAGTGCTATCATGGATCAACTGCGTGACGAGTGGAGTGATAGGATATTCAACAACTTCACTGTTCTGCCTTCGCCTAAGGTATCCTTTCCCTCTTGAGCAGAAATCACCAACAAATCAACAATTCTTTTGTCCGCAAAAGCGTATCCTAACTTTTGACCAAGTCATTATCCACTGTATCTTAAAAAATTCTTGTGACTATTTAATTGGAAAGAATGTGTCGCCTTCAACAGAGTGAGGTTTGTTATTATCTTAATTACCTAACTTTTTTCCCTTATATTATATTTAAATATCGCAGCTCAGAATATTAGCTTGTGACCACTTTTTAAAGCATCACAATATACAACACCTTGGGAGATAAAATGACAACCCAGTGACAAGCTTTTACTCTCTCTAGATGCATATGATATCTTTTGTTAAAAAGCAGGCACGAGGTTATCCGTAGAAAACAAAATTTTTTCTCAATTCTGCATATGTTCACTTTTAAAGTTGGCTAGGATTTTAACGCCTCCATCCAAATGCAGGTATCGGATGTGGTGGTGGAGACTTACAATAGCATATTCTCCCTCGATCACCTCATTGAAACCAGTGACCTAACCGTTGTTCTCGACAATGAGGCCCTCTATGACATTTGCAACCATGTGCTAAAGATCTCCTGCTCCTTTGCGGACCTCAATCACCTCATCTCTTTGGCTATCGGTGGGATCACTACCTGTTTCCGTTTTCCCGGTCAACTGAACTCAGATCTCCGTAAATTGGCAGTCAATCTGGTGCCCTTTCCTCGCGTCCACTTTGTGGCACCCTGCTTCGTTCCCCTAACCAGTCGTGACAACCAGACGTATAAGGCTATCACAGTGCCGAACTTGGTTCAGCAGATGTTTGATAGCAAAGTACTTATGGCGGCGTGTAATCCTCTAAAGGGAAAATATCTGACCTGTGCAGCAGTGTTTCGCGGTCGATTAAGCGTAGCCGAGGTAGAGGAGATGATGCTGAATACTCAGGACAAAAATTCTGCTCATTTTGTAGAGTGGATCCCGAATAATTGCCAAACTGCTTTATGTGATATTCCTCCCCGAGGCATGAAAATGTCAGCAACATTCATGGGTAATAGTACATCTATACAGGCGGTGTTTAGTCGAATTCAATCTGCCTATTCAGCCATGTTCAAGAGAAAAGCCTTTATTCACTGGTACACGGGTGAAGGGATGGAAGAATCTGAGTTCCTTAGCACGGAATCAAATGTTCTTGATCTTATAAGCGAGTATCAGCAGTATCAAGAAGCATCGGTTTAGTATCTCACCCACTGTCTCTTTTTAATGTTTTTAATTCCGATTTACTTTGAGCAAAAGACTGTCTCCTGCTGTAATCTGGATCACACTTTAAATTATTATGTTTTTGCAACTTAGAGAGACCAGAATAATTTTATGAACTTATGTAAACCATCATGACTTTGGAAGGGGTCGTCCTTTGGTTTAAACCACCATAAAATCAGTTTGCTTATTTATGAATAAATACTTGTAAATGAGTCGTTTTTCCTGATCCTGATTACTTTTATTCGGTTTAATTTGCTTAACATTACCAGTAAATAGATGCATTCTGAATAAGGCTGTAAACAACGCACTTAGGCCTATTTACCTTAAGGGTCATCACTTCTGCAATTCGG